TAATTTAATAAACTATTGAATATGATGATTATATAGTTTAATAAAATTTATATATATAGTTGCTATAAATTTAATTTTGAATAAAATTTGATTTTTAAGTCTAATTTTTTTGATAAATTTTTGTTTTCAATATGTCTCAAGAATCTTTTTCATCTCATTCTTCTCTAGAATCTTTGTTTTCATATCAACAACCTTTAGTTTAACAATCTACTCAACAATCTACTGCTCAACAATCTGCTTCTCAACAATCTGCTTCTCAACAATCTGCTTCTCAACAATCTGCTTCTCAACAATCTGCTTCTCAATAATCTACTTCTCAACAATTTTCTTTTCAACAAACTTCTATTCAATCTTTTACTCCACAAATTTTTTCACAACCTACTTATCAGGATTCTCAACAATCTATTATTAATATGTTTGAAGATTTTACATTTGATAATACTATTATTGAAGAATTTAATAATTCAGTAGATTTATCTATTGTTTATAAATTTTACACTTTTTTTGAAAAATACTAATAAATTTAAATGCTGCTATGCTTGTAGGTTTTATTTTTAAATTTTATTATTTAAAATTTTAAATTAATATATTAATTTTTTTTAGAACTGAATATACCAAGCCAAAAAGTAAATCTGCTAGAACAATATAATTACATCTTAAAAATAAGCATCAAATTAATTTAAATGAATTAGAAATTAAAACAACTAGAAAAAAAGTAATTTAATTTACTATAATATTTTTTAATTATTATTATTAAATTTAAAATATTTTATTTAAATTTTTTATAATTATAAATTTTTTAAAAATATATAATATAAATACTAATAATTTATATTTATTATTTATAGAAATACCAGGAATAGAGTACAAAGTATGTAGAGTATGGTTTACAGGCATTTAAAATAGTGTATCTCTTTTGTATCTGATTGGTTAATCTATTCATGTGGCTTTATATTGTATTTCTATATTTGTATATACTCTATAGGGCTTGGTCTACTGTATCGCATGTTTGTAATCAGAAAATATTCTAAACTATTACAGTATGATATTCAATTCTGTGTCTGTAAGATAGGTTAGTCATGGCAAAAAAATGTCAAGATCACAAGATCAACAATTTTTTTGGCCACTTTAACATAGCTTGATAAATTATAATTAATTATTAAAAATTATAAATAAATTACCAGATAATCAAGATACACAATTGTGATCATTTGGTCTTGTGATCTCAACATTTTTTTGCCATAACTAACCTATTTGGGTCAGTATGTTCTGTGTCATTTCACAATTTAAGTCAATTACAAATTGACCTAAATCATTTTTAAATTTTGAAATGATATACGTTATTTCTTAATCGGTGAAAACATAAATTTATATGATTAAATAATAAAGAATTATATCCTTTTGTATAAATAAATATGCCATAGAAAATTTATACAAATTTTACATATAAAATTAAAAAAAATGTAAAATTTGCATAAATTGCTGGCTGCTATATTAAAAACGAAATGCTTCATAAAACTTAAATAAAAAAAATTATATATTATAAAAAAAATAAAAAATAAGGCATATAAAAAATTTGCATAACTAAAAATTACATAAATCTAAAGAATCATTGATTTTGCAATCACAATGTAGAACAAATTCATACCATTATGTATATAACAAGTTATTTTTTTGGTAGAAATCTTTTGTGGAATAAAACAATATCTCATATGAATCTTTTTTATGCTATTAAAAAGAAAAGTAAGTATATAATAAAATAAACTAAAACCAAAAAAAAAACCTTTTGTCTTGACCAGTACATTTTGCTGCTTGTGTACAACACAAATCATCTCTTAAAAATTTTTTAGTTGAACAAATTTGCACCCCAGGTTATTTTTAGTTGGCTTAATTATATCAATTTCTTCAGTCGTATCAACATAAAGAATTTTAAAATTATGTCACCCAATAATTAAAAGTTGGGTTTTGTAATTTGTTTGTATATTAAACATTGATTATATTTATTTCAATCTATTAAACTATGTTTGTTTTTCATTTGAAAAATAAAATTTCCAATATTCGATCAAAGGTTTTATGTACCAGGAAGTTATATCATTCTATTTTTAAAATTAATAAGAAAGATTTTTTAAAATTAAATATTTAAAGACTATTTTTTTTTTAATATTAAATAATATGGTATACATAATACATTTGTAGTATAATAAATTAATATGTGATTCTAAGATCTAATTTTTATTAAATTTGAGATAAAAATTGAAGTTATTCTTCTAGTTGTCAAATGTCATTGTCAAAAATTTATAAAAAAATAAAAATAGAGATGGGAAAAAATGCGCATTTTATAATAACATGCACATGTATGCATATTAATATGCATGTTATATAAAATGTGCATGATATTGCAAGATATAATTTTTTTGATTTTATATTTTCTCTGAAAATATCTCATCTTTATGTTCATTCATTTTCTTTTTGAAATTTTTCAAAACTTCTACATTCCTATTTCTTAATTTTGCCTGGCATTATACACCTTGGCCTAAATTAAATATATTTTAATTTTCCTATATAAAATTTAGATGTGATAAAATGCGCATGATTCCGAATCATGCACACGATCGATGAATCATGCGCACGCATGAAACCCACCTCTAGGCATGATCCATACAATGTCTCGAATATATTTGTAATGTTTTAATTGCATCATTTCGTATTAGTTCTTCCAAATTTTCGTATACATAAGAAAATTAACCTCTTCATTAAGAAGCAGTAATCTATCGGTTTCCACTAAAAATTCCAAAATCTCAATACCCCTTAATTCATCTAAAGAAATCTCAGTAGTGTATAAGTACTAAAGATGCCTGACGAAATTATTTTTGCGATGACGAAATGGTTTCGTCATGGTTTCGTCATGACGAAACTTTGACGATTGATGAAACCCCCGACGATTGACGAAACCTATGACGAATTGACGAAATCTATGACGAATTGACGAAACCCTTGACGAAACCTTTAATGATTGATCAACCATTAACAAGCCGATTTAGTTAGTAATTAAACAACAAGCTTCTATATAATGATCTTTGGGCACACTAAGCTTTAAATTGTTTCAAAAGAATGTTCTTTTATTACAAGGTTTGGCTCTTTTTTGTTTTTTCTTCTTTCGCACGTACTTCGGGTTGATCCGGAATAGTCAAATTTTCGATTCCGGATCAGCCCGATATAAATTCCGAACACGTGCAAAAGAAGGAAGGCGAAAACGCACTTTATTTATTTACAAAATTTAATTTCCTTTTTTATGGATGGCTAAAGTCAGGTACATCATGATTTTTAATTAAAGTTGATTTATGGGTTTAGGCTAAGGATAGAGTAAAGGATTTATATATAGTAAAATTGCATTCCACCACTTTTATTTAGTGAATAATCTTTATATTTTTTGTGTTTTTGTCTTTGTTGTTTTGCTTTGTTTTGTTTGGACAGATCTGTGTTACATATCGGGTAATCTCATGATGTGCCTGACTTTAGCCCACCCCATTTTTTGAATCACGATGGATAACAAAAATATACTGGATATCTTAATGTATATATTGTTATGCAACCTAAAATGATTCTTTATCGCTATTAATTTTTTATAAATGCGGTAATTAACATTATCTTGTATGAATACAACTCATCAAGCTTTGTCATAGGTTTCATCAATTCGTCATAGGTTTCATCAATTCATCATAGATTTCATCAATTCGTTATAGATTTCATCAATCGTTATGGGTTTCATCAATCGTCAATTCGTCAATTAGAAGTCACCTAATGAAATGGTTTCATCATTCATCAATGACAAATGATTCATCATTTGTCATGCATCTTTAATAAGTACCTTTTAAAAATAAATCAGTACAATTAATAATTATTTGACAAGGTTATAAAAATAATATTAATGTATGGATACGTACTTCAAAACAGCTTTAAATGTATTTATTGATACATCTTTTATTTTAATAATGAAAGATTTTTCATCTTTCATAGCCTATCTACTGGAAAGAGCACTATCAAAAAAGGTAGAGCGCATATAAAGCTTTCAAATCCTCTCCTTTGTCAAAGCGAATAATTATATCAGAATTATGACCATCTTGAAGAAGTTTTTTATAATATGATGCAAGTTCTTTATAATCTTTCTTCATTGATTTAATTTGATGATTTCAATGCTGATATTTACCAGAAACGTAGCATGAAGTACAAAGTGTATAGTTTATAGACAACTATCTGTGTACAATTTCTTGAATCCTATTGGATGGCATATTCAAATTGTTCATTGGACATCGTGTACATGATTACATATACTGGTTTTGTTTAATGCCATATGAAAGTGATTCATTTTTATAAAATTGTAGCTACACTTATTCTAAATTCTGGTACGAGCATCTATATCTGATATACCTTACTACTTTTGGTAATCAATTCAAGGATATAAAATATATAGTATTATTTGCACTTTATAAATTTTATCCAACTTATCGCAAGTGCAAAAATAAAATAGTGATATCGATATATATTTTCTGTTATTAGCAAAATATGCACATTATTATGTAATCATTTATAGCCGAAATAAAAAACTTATTGAATCGGCCAAACAATTATTTGGTCAACTTTTTACTAGATGTCCCAAAATTTATAAGAACAGCTATAATATGTGACTTTACTACAAAATCCCAAAAGACAAAATCCTGAAAGAATATAATACTGATAATGTTAGCCAGCATTAGTAATAAAGCTGGTCAATTTGGTCGGCATTATGTCCTTTCAGGATTTTGTCTTTCAGGATTTTGTAGTAAAGTCATAATATGAATATGTGATGTGATATTGATATTTGATAGTTATAATTCTGAAAATAGTAGGTTCATTTAGCTGTGATTAGTTTGCTATTGCAACCAAAACGAGATATGCTCCTAGAAATTGCGATAATATTGTGCTAAGAGATAACTGTAAGTAGTTGCTTATGTGGCTTAGTACTAGCTGATAGTTTTCCATCTGTATAATGCTAGCTGGCCATCAGTATAAACATGTGATATTGATATTTGCAGTTATATAATAGTTGAGTCTGTGCGGCTTAGCACTAACCTACCTGCATAATGCAGGCCAGCTGTAAATATCAAAACTAGATAGCTGTGCGACCTATCGCGCAAAACCAGAAATAGAAAAACTAAGCAGAGGACAGAATTAATATATCTGATACTATAAATTTGTACATAATTATTATACATTCTAGCGCTAATTGCGCTGGATATTCAACCTTTATTAGAGAGTTATAGCATACATCATAAATTGGTACATTTGATATATAATTGAAAAATATATATAGCATACATCAGTGTGATTGATGTATAATTGGAATTAGCTGGTAGTTTCCTACTCGCATAAATGCAAGATGGCTGTTAGCCAGAAGTTTTGTAGTCACATGTCTTAGCTAGTGGTTTTCTGTCTACATAATGCAGGCCGGCTATAAAAAGATATTTAAGCTGCTACAAAA